GTCTACAGCGCCGTATTGAACACAAAGGCGAGCGAGAACCCAGCCCCAAGCACGGCCGTTGGCCTCACAGTCGCATTCAGCAGCATCGCCCTGATCTACACGTTCTGCGACCACTGTGCTTCGCACTTCAACCCAGCCATCACAATCGCAGCCCTGGTCACTGGCAAGCTCGACCTGGCCCTTGGAATCGGTTACGTCATCGCCCAGCTCCTCGGCTTCTTCATCGCCTCCCTCCTGGCCGTCCTCTGCTTCCCATACGGATACAGCAAGACACTCGATCTCATTACGCCTGGTGCCGTCTCAGACGAGATATCGGACCACAACATCTTCTGGGCCGAATTCATCCTCTCATTCATCCTGGTCTTCGTTGCATTTGAAGTCGGAATAAACGCAGTCAGGGAGCCAGGGGTGACTCTCTTCGTAGGCGAGACGCAGATTGATCGAAGCAAGTTTGCTCCTCTCACAATTGGATCCACTCTTGGATTTCTGGCCTCGTCCACTTCTGGTGGCGCATTCAACCCGGGAATCGTCTTTGGGCCGTCGATTGCAGGTGGCAACTTCGAATATTTCTGGCAGTTTGTTGTGGCCGAATTGTGTGGTGGACTCCTAGGTGGATTGGTGCAAGTCTTCCTTCTCTTTAAATAAACAGTCTTAGAGTGGTCTATAGAATTCAGTCGCATATTTGTAAGCCTCGCTGAGTCTCTGGCACCGAGATGCACTACCACCCAAATCAGGGTGGCTTCTTCTGATTCCATTTCTGTATTTGAGACCAAAGTTGGATTTATTGGCGCCAAGGATGCTTAAAGCAGTGGATATGCTGGATATGTCAGATGAATCAGTGAAGGCGTCTTTGTAGATCTGTTTGTTGAAGAAGAGGGAGAAAGCTGTTTTGAGTATTTCAAGAAACATGGGTTAGTTAGGGTGAAATATTCCTAGGCAACTAATTTGGTTTAACCGTGTTGAGAGCATCTTGTAGAGTGGTAGGTCGATTCAGAATAGTTCTTACTAACTTAGAATATGGGCAGTTTCCAACAGTCAGCATCACCTTCTTATGATTCTTGTTCTAATCCATCCAAGAAGCATGAAGATAGAGAACAAGTAGATGATGTTGGCTGCAAGGGGATGGGGACAGAGACCAGTGGATTTGGAGACGATGATTCCAATGTTGCCAGCCAGGAAGACAATCAGCATGTTTCTTGAGACGAAGGTGACCATCGTGTTCAGGTGGACAGAATGGGGAGAGAGGCGGCAGACTGTGTAACTCGTGGCAAAGGAGACGTAGGAAATCACCAGTGACCAGAGGACGTAGAACACGTTCGTGGATCTGCGGCTGACGAGGTTGTTTCTGGTTTCATGAAGCAGATTCAGCAGCTCCTTCTTGGAAATTTGTTTGTGTTCTGCTGTTATGCGCATGTATGCATAAATAAGCATAACTATGGCTGTATTGACGTAGATGATGAGTCCTTTGAATCGTCTCTTCTCGTAGTAGCGGCCAAAGTCGGCTACAATCAGGTAGAATGCGAAGAATGGGACAATCGAGTAGATTCCCTCGATGTTCTGTCTGAGCCAGGTTGTTCTTTGGTATTCTTCTAGAAATGGGAATCTGGTCAACTTGTAGTACGCAGATAGCACCAATGCGCCTATCACCGTATCAAATAGGTAGAACTGGTCTACAATCCGCCTGTATATCCCGTGACATAGCTCATGTATTGCTAGCATGAAGTAGAAATTCAGGTGAATTCCGTATTCTAATGGTGATACGTCGTATTTCAGGAATCTGATTGTTCCCATTCGAATGAATCCAAGTGCAACCAAATAAATTATTTTCCAGGTCAGAATTCTCCTATGACTTC